CTGAGGGGCCCAAAGGAGGGCCAGGGCCCATTGGAGTGGGAAAGGATGGAAGATCCAAGGGAGAGTCCAAAGTTGGAAGCCAGAGGCCAGGCTGGGGGGTGGAGCCCTGGAACCGGGGTCATGGGGATCAGGGTGACACTAAAGAGTTCTGGGGGCACCTGCTATAGACATCATGGGGAGGCCCTGGTGGAAGACTCCGAGTCCCTCCCTGACACTTGGCTCCCATCTCATCGCTCAGCCTCCATCTTCCCATCCAGGGTGGGGCCTGAGCATTTTATTTCAGGACTCTAGACCTAGCCTCTAGCGCCCCCTGCTGCTGGCTTCTCACCCTGGCAGCTGGTGCCCCCTTCCGCGCTGGCAAAGCCCGGGGCACAGAGACAGAAAAAGGACCCGTGGCTGTTGAGACACTCGCCGCGAGGCGCGCAGTACTCCTCTCCCGCGCACTCGTTTATGTCTGCAGGGAGAAGAAGGGCAGTGCTGTCTCCCAGGGAGGTTCCCAGCTTTGCAAGCACTCCGACCCCATCTTGGGGTGGTGGGGGTGGAGACCAGAGCCACTCACCCTCACACACGGTGCCATTGGCCAACTGGAAGCCCTGGGGACAGAGGCACTGGTAGGAGCCAGCTGTGTTCTTGCACTCGCCTCCCAGGCAGCTGCTCTGGAGGTCTTCACACTCATCCACATCTGCAGGGTCACACAGGGAGCAAGGCAGCTGATGGCAGCGCCTCCCAAGGACAGGGGCCAACAGGAAACTGGACCCATAGGGGCACTGTCCCTTTACAAAGCAGCACAGCTGGAGGAAGCTGGCGATGGAGCTCTTGAGGGCAGGCTGATTGCACCTCCCTCCACTTCTGCCCCAGCCCAGCAGGCTCCCCTGCCTCTGGCCAGGATTCTCTGGCTACCCATCCAGTGTCCACCTTGGGGACACTTGGCCTCTCCCAGCAACCCTGGCATGGGGTAGCCAAACCCCACTGCCCTCATCATGGCTGAGATGGCTTAGATTTTACTAAAAAGCCATAGGAAGGCAAATGAGAAATAAGCCAATGAAAGTTGAAGGAAACTTCTTCAAGTTGGCCTACAGATGGCCTGGTACAGGCTGACGTTTTTCAGAATATGGTCCCAGCACCCACCCTTACAAGGAACCCTTGAGGAGCTTGTTAGATAACAGATCCCAAGGCCCCCTCAACAGAGGCTGATTTAGAAGATCTGGGCCAAGGCCCAGGAATCTGTGTGTTGAGCAGACTCCCCCAGTGATTCTGATGCATGCTGAAGCTCGTGACCCAGTGGCTCATCAGCCCCCAGATCTGCAGTCTTTCTGACTCCTGTTGGGGGAGGGGTGGGAATAGGTGTCCCCGGCTAGCCCACCATCCGAGGTTAATTCCCTGCTCTAAGGGTGATGGGTTAGTCTCCTGCATCCTGTCTATGCTCTTCTCCCCCATTGGGCCTCTCACCTTCACAAGTGTGGCCCAGGGCGCTGGGCCGGTAGCCCTCCTCGCAGTCCCTGCAGGAGAAGGAGCCAGCGGTGTTGGTGCAGACTCCCGAGGGGCAGACTCCCGGAAAGGCACACTCATCTAGGTCTGGGGCAGACAGCCAGCCAGTCACCTGGGGGTCTGGGAGGCCTCCCTCCACCTGGTGAGGCAGGAACCACCCCACCACCTCTGGCCTCCCTCTCTAAGCTTGTCAGGCCCTCTGCAGGCCCCTGGGGAAGGGCAGGCCCTCACCTTGGGCCTTTTATAGAGCAACCCCAGCACCCTCTCCCCAGCATGCTCCTGGGGCAGCTCTGCCACCAGCTTTCCTCTTGTCCCTGAGACTCCCTTTCCCTCCTGTCCTCCTGTCCTCGTTGATCATGACAATAGAGGCTCTCCTTGGGGCCAAGTCCATTCATAGGGTCCTCTAGCCTAGCCTGGAGACCCTCAGCTTCAGCCCCAAGCTGAGGGACAGATGGCATGTTGTCTGGAAGGACAGAAGGCCAGTATTTTCGGTCCCCCTCTACCACCCCCTCCCCAGGGTTACCTTCACAGGCGGTGCCGTCCTCATTCACCCAGTACCCGCTCTCACAGGCCGAGCAGGTGAAGGAGCCCTCAGTGTTGAGGCAGAGGCCCGTGGGGCACGAGGTCCGGCTGGCACACTCGTCGACATCTGAAACAGGCCATTGAGCTCTGTGTGGGGCTCTGCAGGACAGACATGCCAGGCTAGCCAGGGATGGACAGGGAGGGGCCGGGTAGGAGAAGGGACGGGTCATGGCAGCAACTTGTCGGGCCAGCACGCCTAGGGATGCCAGCCCCAAGGGAAGGAGTGGCAGGCTGATTTGCTGAGGACAAAGGGTGCTTCAGATCTCTGTACCTTGGCAGCCCTTCTCGTCTGAGGTGACCTCATAGCCCTTCTGACAAGAGCATCTAAAGGAGCCCTCCAGGTTGGTGCATGTTCCGTGGGCGCAGACCCCGGGAGCCAGACACTCATTCACATCTGCGGGAGAGAATTCCAAGATAGTGGGCTGGCCTCCTCTCCTTCATACAACCTCCATCATCAGGATGACAGCATCTCACTTACGAGGCTAGGGAGTCAGCAGTCAGAGGGGCCACAGGCACCCTGAAACACACATGAGGTCTCTTGCTCCTGTCCCCACCCACCTGGGCAAGGCAGGGAGCCCTTCCCCTCTGAGCTCCCTTCAGATCTATAGAGTGACATGGAGCAACCTGCATACGTCCTAGCTAAGGGGGTCAGGTCCCCCAGCCCTGGTTTGGCCCATCTGAGGACACCTGGAGTGAAGTGTCCAAGACCCCTGACTGAACCCCTGAGAGGTTCAGTGGGTCTGAACCTGTCTGGTCTCCCACCTGCCAACTAAACTGGTATGTTCCCATGTTCCCAGCCCAACAACCAGATTTAAGAGGTGAGTGGGCAATGCAGAGAGAGGCCGAGCTATGCCTGGGGAGATGAGTGGCCGTCTCAAGGGCCTGGAAAGTGCCTGCCCTCTCCAGAGCCTCAAAGCATCTATTCACAACTCAGTCCCTCCTGGCATTCTGAACCCTGGGCCTTTCTTCCTGCGGGGGCTGAGGGGAAAGAGCATTCCTCCTACAGCTGACATGCAGCCCCCTCTGGAGGGAGAGGAGCACCCACTGTTCGGTTAGGTGTTGCTGTTCAGACATTGCCCTTGAGCAGAAGAGCAGACCCCTCCTCCCTGGGCGGCTCAGCAGGGCCTGGCTGCCAGCGCACACCACAAGGGTCAGCCTCTTCAGAGACGCTTCACACTCACTCTGCTTAGCAGGATCCAGCCACAGAAGCTTCTGGGACCTTGGACTATAGCTCCTGATGGATATGGCCAAAGAGCGAAAGGGGCCCCCACCCTAGCTGATTCAGAGGGCAGAGCACTAGTAACTGAAGCACACCCATCTCATACCCAACGTCATCTGGGAACCCAGCCGGGTCATGGAGGACAATGGCCTCCAAGCCCCTTCCCTCTGCCCCACTCCTTCCCCTCCCTGTGTGTGGGCTCAACCGGGGGTCCCAAGGCCAAGCAGCCCTCTCAATGCCTTGGCAAGCAGCCCTCACCTACACAGCTCCCGCTCTGGCCCCTGTAGCCCTCCTCACAGGCCAGGCAAGTGTAGGAGCCGGGGGAGTTGACGCATCTCCCATCAGGGCAGGTGCCAGGGTGATGGCATTCGTTGATATCTGCAAAACAACAGCCCCTCCCTCGGTCATCTCTGGGAACCACAGCCACGGGTGGGCTGTGAAGAAGCAAGCCCTTGACCCTGCCCTCATTCAGGGAGAAGGAGGGATGTCAATTTCTGAAAGGGTGGAAACTAGGAAAAATTGAGTGTTGTCCTGTGTTCCCAACTCCACCTCCCACCCACTGTCCTGGACATAAGAGAGATGGAAGAAATTTAGAAAGGGTGACTCCCTGGTGCAGGAGGCTGCGCTTTCCACTAGCTGGGGGTGGGGGTGGGGGTGGTGAGAGGCTCAACTTCCTGAGCCTTGCGCAGGGCCTTTGTATCTCTCTTGTTCCTTTATAAGTGGTGATGAGGACTGGATTGGATGTACTTGGCACAGCAGGCCCCAGGGCCCCAGAATAGATCATAGGTGGGCAATGAAGGCAAAATGGGCTTCCCTGCACCAGGAAATGAGCACTGAGGATGACCCCCCAATCTTGGACGTGGCCAAGACCAGCCCTGAGGATGCTGCAGAGTGAACAGTGGAGGCTGGCAAGGCTTCTCTGCTGGAGAGGAGACTCTTCTTCCAGCCGAGAACCACACAGGGCTGCAGCACCCACTCTGGTGAGATCCAGGAAAGTCAGCCAGAAAGGATGAATCTGAGCATCAACTGGACAAGCAGAGGAAGAGGTGACCCACGGAGGAAGGGGAGCAGCCAGTCCTGGGAGAGTGACAATAAGGAGGAGAAGGGAGAGCTTGCTCCCAGGAACTGCACGCAAGGTTCTTCCTGATGTGACCTGGTGTAATGGGGGGGGTCCATCATCCAAGGCACCCAGGCGACCTGGGCTGAATTAGGGAGGTCATAACACAGGGACTGAACTCTGGGTCGGGGCTGCAGGGAGACAAGCTCCTCTGGCCCAGTGTCGAGGCTCCCAGTCACTATTCCTGACAGACAGATTGACCAAGCTCCAGAGGGAACGGGAGAATTTACCCTCCCTACATGGATAACTGTCATCCTCCTGCAGGAAGTCCACCAGTTCATGCAGATTCAGAGGCTCTCCTGCCCAGGAGGAAGCCCTACTCAGCACCCTTGGTGGAAATGCAGGAGGCAGCGTCAAGGGTCGGAATGCAGGTTTCTGCAAACGGACTCAGGCCAGTAGCTGTCGTTATAGAACAGGACATGGGCCCGGAAGCGGAGGGTAAAAATGAACCTCCTCTGAGGTGGTTTGGTCTGCAGAAGACCAGTCACATCAAAGCCCTCTGTCCCAGGGAACTGGGTGCCTCTCAAGGCCAAAAATTCACTCTAAGAGTCCAGAAGAGCAAGACGTATCCAGGGCAGGTAGTTATTCAGATGGTGTGTGCAAGGAGGTGCCCAGAACTCCTGGGTCATCTTGGGGACACTGAGATAAGGCTCATCTCTGGAAAGAGGGCGGCCAAGAGCCCCTAGGTGGGCTGTAGTGATGCCAGGGTAAATTATCCTAAGGGTTTCTGTAAAGACAGAGGGAATGAGAAAGAGGTGGAGTGAATGAAGGCTCTAGGACCACCAGCTTTGGCCAGCACCACAGCCTGCTGGTCTTGGCTGAGATACCAGGGGGATGGGCAAAGCCAGTGGGAATGATACGCAGTCCCTGCTTCAGGGATGTAAGACTCAGGGATGAGGAGAAAGGGAACAAGGCAAGGATCTTCCTCTAAGGCCACACTGAGGAAAAAGGAAGTCTTCGGGCCTCTCCTGCAGGGATCAGGCAGTATAGGAAGGAGATTAGCCCCACCAGGAGCAAAGGGCTCTGAGTTCTGTCCTGCCCCAATTGTTCCGGGCACATCTGTGGAGATGGTGCCCAAAGTGTTTCATGTTGGGCCTTAGGAGACCTGTGGGACTAATGCTGTTCACCAAATATTCCAGCTCTCCCTTTCTGGGCTGTGACAGGCTTGTGCTTCCTGTTCCTTGTGGTTGGGTGGAGCCAGGGAACTAGTGCTGGCCAATGGCTATGAGTGGATATGACGAGTGTAATTTATGGACCCAAACATTTATTTGTGTGGAACCCTGTGGAGTGACCTTTCTTTCTTCCATTGACACTGGCCACACTCAAGGTGCTGTTTATTCCTGTAGCCTGGTTCTAGGGTGAGGAAACGTTGGGCAGGACCCCCAGATGACCCATGATGGACATGTGGCCTTGGTCTGATATCAAGTTTGCTGTGTTCTAAGTCACCAAGATTGGAGTTGCTTGTTAACACAGCATAACCTGGTTTATCCTGGCACAACACTGCTTGCTTCCTTCTTCAGACCAGAGCCCCAGCCAGTGATAATCATGGGTAGGAAGTCTGTCAGCAGCTGGGAGAGGCAGGGCAGAGGATTAAAGCCCCTAGTCTCCCCCTGAGTCAAGACAGTCCTCTTCTAAATGGGGGTGGCTATAACAGAGCCACTGAGCCAAGCCAATTAAAGGATCCAGATTTAAAGATTCTGGACACAATATTCATAGCAGCACTATTTACAATAGCCAAGGCATGGAAGCAACCTAAATGTCCATCAACAAATGACTGGATAAAGAAGTTGTGGTTTATACATAATGGAATACTACTCAGCCATAAGAAAGAATGAAATAATGCCATTTACAACAACATGGATGGACCTAGGGATTATCATACGAAGTGAAGGAAGTCAGAGGGAGACAAATATCATAAGATATCACTTATATATGAAATTTTAAAAAATTGGCACATATGAACTTATTTACAAAACAGAAACAGACTCACAGACATAGAAAACAAACTTATGGTTTCCAGAGGGGAAAAGGACAGGAAGGGATAAATTAGGCATTTGGGATTAGCAGATACACACTACTATATACAGAATAGATAAAATGCAAGGCCCTACTGTGTAGCACGGGGAACTATAGTCCATAGCTTGTAATAATCTATAATTAAAAAGAATCTCTCTCTATCTATATATCTATATATCTATATCTATATACATCTGAATCACTATGCTATACACCAGAAACTAACACAACATTGTAAATCAAATATACTTCAATAAAAATTTTTAAAAAAGATTCTGAATGAAGTGGATTTTGTGTTAAAAGCACAGGCACTGATGTCACCAGATATCCTGAGGCTGGTCCACCAAGCTCTTAGTGCCTGGATTGAAGCTAGATTTTTCTGCCTAGTCTAGGGTTTGAGTTTCAATCTAAGATTATGGTATGTTTTGGTAGGTCTTATCCTGGTCATTAAGGGCAGGAGCTATCTTTTTTAATGCTATATTCCTAGCCCACGGCTGGGGCACAGCTGGCACACAATAAATGTTTGCTGACCAAAGAGTGAGACTGTGTGATTAACTAAACCTTCACATCCTCTTGGCGTGAGGCCCTGGGAAACAGTCACCCCAGGGCCCAGTGTGCCAGCCTGCTGTCTGTGCCCTGGGAGGATCCTGGAGCTTCTCTAAGCAGCGCTGCAGTCTCCGCACAAGGAAATGTAAGGGTGTGGCCTCTGTTCTTTGTGAGAGCACATGGGGGGTGTTCAGTCAGGGGCCAGAAGTCCAGGTGACCTTGGATGTGGGTGGGGGACAGCAGAGCCCTGGCAATCTGCAGGGGAAGCTAACCCCTTTCCGTGGGAACCCAGAGTCCCGGTACGACGGAAATGCCATCGAGACTTTGGATGGGCTGCTGTCCAGACCACTCGGGCCTCTCACCAGAGACTTTGAGTTTAAGTGGAGAGAGTGGTTTCTTAGTTGGAGGAAGAAGAAAGAGGGAGAGGAAATTGACTGGGCTCCCGGGGTGATGGGCCGAGTCTGTGGTTACGGATGGAAACCTGGAGAAGTGTGCAGGCTACATCAGTCTTTCTTTCAACAGACTCAGAGTGCCTGCCTGGAGCCAGGAACTCAGCCTGACCTCCCAGCTGAGGTGTGTGTCTGGAACCTTTCCCCTGGAAGGGAAGGTGACAATCCGGAGGCATGGACCAGGGCGTGAGGGGAGTCTGGAAGTGAGAGAGGGTCTCACGGTGACCTTACTCTCTGAGGGTCTGCACTTTGTACGCAGTGCGTTATTTCGTCCTCACAAGAGCCTCTGCCATGGGCATTATGGTTTCCATTTTCAGACATTGAAACGAGAGCCAAACCCAGGCCTGTCTCCACCGCAGCCTGTGCCCTTAGCATGGACTGGCTAGAATAAATCTGATCTTTTTCATGCTTCGGTATTTTCTTAGTTCATTTCCTTTAGTTTTGCTTTACTTCTTAATAAAGTCTCATGCCAGATTAATCATGTTTGATGCTTAAATGAGACAATCTACCAAGTTCCTAGCCCAGCCCCTGGCACGTGGCAGGCACCCATCAAATGCTAACTCCCTTCACTCTCCTTTCTCCTGGAAACTTCTAGGCTGTCTGCCTCCAGCATGCTAACGAGGACAGAGGGAGTGGGTTCTGGCTTTGATCACATGTAGACCTGAGTTTAGAGGGGGAAGCATCGAATGGGGACGGTGACAGGCTGTGGGGGCAGGCAGAGAGCTGTCTGTCCTCCCCTAGCAACCTCTTCCCTTTGCCAAGATCTGCCAGGACTCTACTTACATGGGAGAGGCGTTGGGAAGGGGGGCTCTCCCTTCACCAGACACACAAGCTCATCCCTCACCCCTGGGACCCTCTGAATCCAGGCAAGTCCTGGCCAGGGGAAACCTGGAGGCAGGGAGGAGTCTGGGCCTAACCTTGGATCTAAGGCAGGACTTCTTTCCAGAGAGCATGTTGATTTACCCGCCTATTCCTGTCTCAGCCAGTCTTGGGAGCACATAACCCAGGCCTCTTGCAAAAATTTGACATCCCAGCCTGGCAGGGAGGTGGAAGTGGCAGGGCTGCCAAGAGCTGGCCTGATGGTGGCAAGTTCAAGCCAGTCTGAGGATGTCAGTTGGCAATGTCACAGCCACCTTGTGGCAGGGCCCGAGAAAGGGGGCCAGGATGAGGGCTTGCTCATTCATTTATCTTTTTTTTGTTTTAGTCTGTTTCTTCTAATTAAATTTTTTAAAACTTTTTTTCTTTGCTTTGCCTGTTTTTCTTTTTTTACTCATTCATTTATTCAACTAGCATTTGTTGGGGTGTCCAACACACGGACATTTGTCAGGTGTCCATGCATGGTCATCTAAGGATGTGGTCCCGCTCTGAGGAGCTCACAGCCTAACAAGCTTCAGCAAGCAGGTCAAGCCCGAGGCCCCAGTTACCTCCCGGATAGACCAATTCTCCCTCTGCCGTGTGAGGAGAGCAGAGGGACTCGGGGTGAGAGGCAGGGGAGCTTCCAGGATCTCATGCACAGAAAGTTACTGTGCTCCCTCACTGCAGGGGCTGGCAGGATGCCAAAATATCCCTGAAGGGACAAAAGGGCTCTGAAACCCCCAGACAGGTCTCTCCATGCACGGGAGTGGGCTCTGCATCCAGGGACCTCGTCGAGGACAAGCTGAAAGGGGAGCTGGTGGTGGGCAGTGTGTGGGGAAGGACCAAGGTACAGTGCGGAGGGATCAGGAGGTGGTGGGGCAGAATCCCATTCCTTACCTTGGCAATGTCCCTTCCGGACCATGACGTAGCCCTGGTTACACTCGCAGTGGTAGGAACCCTCTGTGTTGGTGCACCGCCCATCGCTGCACACTCCTGGCTGCTCACATTCGTCTACATCTGCAAACACACAGAAAAGTCCCGAGTGGGAGCCAGCCCTGTGGGGGCGTCCTGGGGCATCCTTTCAGAGGCTGAGGCCAAGGCCGATACTGCCCATGCTGAGGCCCAGGCAGGCAAGGCGTCCTTGCTGCAGACATGAATGGCAGGGGGCTTCTATGCCAGGTCTGAGACTGACCCAGCTCAGGACCCTGCAAGCTCCTGAGTTCCTTTCTCCTGGTGGCGGGGGTGGGGCTACTTTAGGGGCTCTTGAGGACCCTCGCAGCTGTCTCCTCACCTTGATGCAAGGGCTTGTCTAAGGTCAGGTGGAGTGCACATGGCAACAAAGAAGGCCAACAAAGTCCCCCTCCTGACACCAATAAAACCCCCAGAGCTCTGCTCTTAGAGTTCTTAGTGGCCTTCTTAAAGGTTAGGGATTAAGCAGCCAGTGAGAGACAGCATCTTAGGCAGCTGTGCATCTGTCCATGTGGTTTTTTCCCATTGTCCCAAAGCAAAATGGTGCCCGGTGATGGCTCAAAAGCCCAACTGTGGTCATGCCCCTCCCCTGCCTAAGGCATCCTGCCAGGGTTCCCTGCTGCTCAGCCTTCCTTGCAAGCCTCTGCCACCTGTCCCCAGCTGTGCTGTGTTTGCTGATCCCCACTGGTCCAGCCTCCAAGCCTTCATTCACACAAATGCCTCTGCTTGGTTTGATGGCCAGCAGAGCCCTGCTCCCCTCTCAAGGACCGGTTCAATTTGTCACCTCTAGGTCACTCTGGCTACTCCCCCTTCCCTGTTCCCCACAGTCAGATTAATGGAGGGCTCACCTTTTCCCCCTACCCCAAGCACTGGTTCAGACACTTTCCAGAGGATTTGTGCAGATTAAATGAGAAAATCCAGGTGAAGGGCTTAGCACAGTGCCTGCCTAGCACAAAGTAAATGCTGAAGAAGAGTTAGCTATTTTTATTTTATTCTTGCATTAAACCTGCCCCATACCATCCCAGCTCCTCAGCCTGGCATGTGAGACCTTCCACGATCTGGCCCCTGCCAGGTTCTCTCACTTTGGTTCCTGCCTCCCACATGTCTCCCAGCCTCAGGCACACAGAATCTGCTTCTGAGCTTTTGCACCTGCTGTTCCCTTGCCTGGAGTGGCTCCCCAACCACTAGCTTGGCTTTCTCTTCATCTCTCGGTGAGGTTGCCCTCTCCCCTCCAACCCATGTGGTGCTTCCCAGGGTTCCCTTAGAAATCAGACCTTATAGTAACTGACCATTCACCTGCTCTTTCCTCCCTGACTGCTGGGAATGTGCCTTATTATCCTGGTGTCCCTAGTGCCAAGCACAGAATCCTTAAGAGTACTTACTGCATTTAAGGACAGTGTTTTCATCTGAGCAATACTTCCTAACACTTAAGTGCATGGTGGAGTCGCTGGCAGAAGATACAAAATGTACACTCCCAAGCACACGTCCAGAGATTCTGACCCAGCAGCAGTGGGTGGGCCCAGAAGCTTGCATTTCAATAACCCGCCAGACAATTCCGAAATAACTGATCATCACTTTAAGAAGCTCTAATCCCAATGGAAGAGAAAAGGGAACCTGATAAAGGACCCACAAAATGGTGGGGCCGGGATGACTGCCTGATAGATGAGGCTGGGGAAACGGACTTGTTCTAAGGATCAAAAGAGAAAAACTTAACACCCATACAAAGATGGACTCCCGATGAATTAAAGCATGTGAAAGGCAAATCTGTAACTTTAGTGAAAGAAGGTATAGAAGACTATCTTTGTGACTAAAGAGGCTAGGAAAATATCTTTGTGACTTAAAGCCCCAAAAGCGTAAAAAATAGGTGAGTTTTGATCCATCAGAATTAAGGATTTCTGTTAAAAGAAGGACATGTAGATAAAGTCAATGGACAGAGGACAAGATGGAAGAGTTATCATATCTAAACCCAGGCAAGTATCTGGAATACACAAGGATCTTCAAAAGAGCCACAAGAAAAACCAGCAACAACCATTGGAAAACTAAGCAAAAGGCAGGAACAAGAAATTTCTACATAAGGAAACTCAATGGCTAACAGGCGAAGAGATGTTCATACTAACTAGTAAAGTAAATGTTATTTTAAATATTTAATATTCAAATAATGTATATTAATCGATTGTATATATATAAACTTCCATTCTAGAATTTGTAATGCTTTATATTCATTAATTATATAAATTAATGAGATAATTTATAAATAAAAATAAATATTTAAAATAAGGTGATACTGTTTTACTAGAGGAAAAAATTTAGAAAGTGGATGTTATCCTAGATGAGGCCTCATCACGCGGCAGCCAAGCCCCACCGAGAGAAGCTGACAGCTGACCCGGAGCTACCTGCCTCCTCCCCCGGCTGTCAGGCTGGCAGAGACATCAGGACACCCAGGCTGCACAGCCCCTTGTCTGGGCCGGTCCTGGCGACACCCTTCCCTGCAGCAGTGGCTGCTTGTTCCAGGCCAGCACTGCAGGCTGGGCCTGCAGGAAGCCGAGCCTCTGGCCAACGATATTTGCCAAGGCTGTGAAGCCCAGAGAAGCTCAGGCCCCTGGCCTCTGCCCTCACTAACTCCAGACCATTCCCAGCACTGCAGCCAGAGTCACCTCCCCGCAAGCCGACTGACCGCATCACCACCCTCTGCTTACAAACCTCTACTGGCTGCCACTGTCTGAGGGACGGCGTCCAAGCACTACAGCCTGGCGCTCAAGACACTTTGCAAACTGGCGTGGGCTCCTGCCACTTCCTCCACATACCCTGTGCTCCAGTTACACGTTTTTAACATCATCAGAGCATGCCAGGCTTGTTCATTGCTCTGCTCTCTGCAGAAATGGTTCCCTTTCCCCGGAATACTTTCTGTTCCCTCCAGTCCTTCACCACGTGTGTGAGGGAGGGAGTTGTTGGAAGCAAATCATGCTTGGGGGCTGGGATGACTCTGATTCTGTTTCCAGCTCGGCCACAGCTCTAGGTGTGAGGTTCCTGGGTGTTTTAATTCACCTGTCTAAGCCTCAGTCTGCTAACGTATAAAATGGGGGTAAGGATTTCTACTGCATGGGATTGGGATAATGCGCTTCATAAAATAAAGTGCTGAGGATGGTGCTGGCATAGGAGAAGTGCTCATTCAGTGGTAGCTATTATTCTGTCCCCATTCTGACACCCCTTTGGGAAACCTTCCCATGTTGTTCCACACAGAACCAGTTGGTTCCTCCTCCCACAGCGCCACCATTCACACCGTACTCATTGCAGTATCCTAGAACTTACACAGTGCTCAGGCCAGAACAAGCCATGTCACCCAAGAATGGCAGCACCATTCTGCAGGTGAAGGAGTCCAACTGGGTCATGAATCTTACAGCACTACTTGGAAAGTATTGCATCCTATTCTCTATAAACTTATTCGCAAAAAAAAAAAGTATGTGGAGTGTTTTGTATCTGGTATAAAACACTGAGTGTTAAAGGGTTTTTGTTGGAAGCATCTTTGTCCAACGGCCCCATGCAGAGCTTCCCAGGGATGCTTGAAGCCTTGCAGGTGTCTCCGAGAAGCTGGGGACCCACACTCCTCTTACAAAGGCACACCTGCTCCCCAGGCTGCCCAGAGTCCAGTCGGGGTCCTCATGGGTTGCACTCCTTAGCTAATAGGAAAGAAGCTCCTTGTCACTCAGAATCTGGGGACTTTCCATCTTCATGTCTAGCCATGACCCCGGACTCCCTCACACTATGGCTCCAGGCACAGTTTCTTGGAGTGTTTGTGAATGTTGCTGCCTTTCAGATTCATACCTTTCCATCTGGTCTCAGCGATCTCAGCGCCAGCATAAGGTCTGCTTCCTCCCAGGTCCAGGTCAGAGCTCTGGTCTCAGTTCCCACAACCCCCGCTCTCCCCACATTGCAGCACTGTAGCTGGGTGCTGCAGATGCCTGGATCCTCTTCCACCCTAGCGCTACCGTGGGGTCTTGTACCCCTGTCATGGGGGCAAGGGCAGCTCAGCTTACCTTGGCATTCCTGCGTGGTCCCTGAGGTGGTCAGCGTGTACCCAGGGTAGCAGAAACAGGAGTAGGAGCCCACGTGATTGACACAGCGTCCTCTTCCCTTGCAGGGGTCCCTCAGACACTCATTGTCATCTGAGCAGAAGGAGGTGGGGAGGGAAGTCGGGGATGCCTTCATTTTGGCACCTGCCAGCAACCTGCCATGCTAAAGGCTGGACAGGGATTGGTGCTGTGGGGCAAGAAGGGGATGAGGGAGCAGAGGAAGCTGCGGAGATGAAAAATCTCTAAGGCTGGGAGCCACAAAGTCAGTCTGTTGGGCTCATTCAGGAACCAAAGGCCTGGGGCAGTAGTCTCACACCTCCTCCCTGCCCCATGTCCCTCTTCCCCAGTGGCCCCATGATCATTTCCTTTCTCCTTAAAGTCACAATGGATGTGTCTTCCTTGTATAAAAATATTGGGGGGTGGATCAGGCCCACACTGGGTGATTTATTTATTGTACCTCCAAACCTCTCCCCCAGGGATGGCCGTGGTGGAGACATTTACAACTAGGGCAGGCCTCCATCCGCTCTGCAGGCAGTAAGGTGGACAGTTTGAGGGGTGAGCTGATCTCAGAGCTGAGGGCTTCAAGTACCAGTCAGGGGGGCCCTGGGATGGCTTCCTACTCTCCTGGAGTCCTGGAGACTCATCAGATGGTACTCCCAGAGACTGATCTCCCCAAGGTTAAGGTTAGCTTTGTCCGGAGGAACTGTGCCCCTCAGCCCATTAACCACACAGCACTGCTTGGACCTTCTTCTGCCTGGACTCCTGACTCCTTCCCTAGCCCTGCTCCCACCCAACCCAGCCACTGAGTGAGCCCAGTTGGCCTGAGGGGATACCTGTGCAGTAGGCCTGGCTGGGGTGCAGCCGGTAGCCGGGGCTGCAGATGCATCTGTATCCATCAGGGAGGTTCACACAGGTTCCAGGGCCGCAGATGTTGGTGGCTCCAGTGGCACATCTGTCAATGGCTGTGGGAGACAGAGCAAAGCTGAGGTTATGGCAGGCGGGGGATGGGCGAAGGCTGTGGAGTAGGGTGGGGGGAAGTGTTGGGGCAGGGCACAGGGGCCTCGGAGGACCCACAGAAGCCTCACCCCAGGCTTAGCTGGACCCTCTCACATCCATGTATAGCATGGCTTTGCATAAGACCCCACAGCACCTCCTCCCGGGGCACAGAGCCCTACCCTACTGGAGCCTGCAGCAGTGTATCCCTCTGACTGAGACCCTGTGGGTTCCAGTGATCTGTGTCCCAGGTCCCAGCAAAGGGCATTCCCTGCTGAGGCCTCTAGCCTGAACTTACCCTGAATACGGGGCAGCTCTCACCCACAGTGAGTGCTTCCCTCCCCTGGCAATATTTCCTAGACAGACAGATCTGGTGAACAGGGTCTTGAGAGAACTGCCAGGGGAAAAGGGGAGAAGTGGGCTGGAGCCAACTGAGCAGGGCCTTGAATGCCATGTTGAGACAAGCTTGTAAGCAAGGGGGTCATGGGAGGTGGGGTGTGATCAGAGCTCTCTCAGAAAGACCATGCATCTTGCATGCCAACCTGCTCAGAAAGGCAGCGAGGTGGCAGATGGACTGGCGGTGGGTGGTGGGGGAACAGGAGACCCCTACAAACCTAGAAATAAATTAAACAAGGACTGCCTTGGGTGGTGGTAAGGGGGTAAAAGATGAAAGACAGATACTGAATTCAGAAACAGTCTAGAGACTCACCAGGATTCAGGGCTGAGGCTGCATAGAGAGACTGCAGCTGTTCTGAACTAAGTCTTTAATACTAGAAAAGTATCTGGTACTTAGGACACACTGAATGAACAAACGACTGAATGAATGAATGATGTTTTTGCCCTAGGTCTTAGCGGGAAGCCCACATCCCAAGGCTCCTCGCCCTGCCCCACAGCACTGAGGAAACCCTAGAGACCCAGTGGGGTCGGGACACAGCCTGTGTGGGTGCACGCAGCTCTGCTGTATTGGACTGAACTGAATGCAAAGGACGGCCTTTTGTAAAGCTGCCCTGTCCCTGGCCTGGCTCCAAGTTTATGTCGGCCTGGGGGCTCATGGGGACCTCCAGCCAGGTTCCAAATGTCCTCCCAGAGGGGTGAGACTGGGGGAGGGCAAGGGGGAAAAGGGATCAGGCCAAAGGCTGGAGGTTGTGGAGGATTCTGTCTCCACATAGCTGAGAGCTTTTGCCGAGCCTGGCCTGGGCCCCTGCTAATCCCCCATCCCACCCTTCCCCTCAGGCCCATTTTCCTTGTCAGAGACTCAGAATCCCCAGCTGAGCCCCTTGACCCAGCTCATCTTGCCTGAAGAGTAGAGGGGCCTTGGACACTCCCTGGAGCTGTGCACTGAGCCCCGAGAAGAGGGGCCCTGGTTCAGGCCTGGGAAGGCCAAACTCCCCCACCCCACACTCTCCGGACTGTTCCACTAGCCTGCAGGGTCTCTCCTTTGCTGGAGGAAATCTGGAAATGCCCCTGACCCCGAGGTGACCTCAGTGTATGAGGTTAAGCACAGCAAGGCCCTGACGAGGGCACTCGTGAGGCACACACGTGCACACACACCAGCACACACGTGAGCAGGGAGCAGCTGCGGCAACACCGGCCCTGCTTCTCTTGAACCAAGTCCCCAGACAACGGGCCTTTGAGGAGGGCACATTCCAGAGCAAGGTGGATTTGCCAGGGATCTCCCCCACACCACACCCCCCCACCACGGCAGCTGCCAGAGAGGCGGGGGGAACGCAGGCTCCCGGGCAGCTAAACAACCTTGAGAAATAGAACCATTTTCCTTCCTGAAAGTCAGCCCTCCCTGTGGGCAGGAGGCTGCCCACTGCCAGGGCACTCAGCTGACTCAGGGTCAACAGCCTGAAGGAGCCAGGCTCCCGGAGGCCCCACGTGCTCGCCTGCCTTGAGTGGGCCCCCTCTGAGTGACCCTCCCCTAAGGCATCCCTTCTCTTTCTCCTGCCTGGCTTGACCAGTGCTCCAGACAGACTCCTCTGTTCACTAGGGGCACCATGTGCTTTCTGTGGGATGTGGCCAGGGGCGCTGAGCCCGGCGCAAGTTCACTGGATGCTGTTCATCTGGCGGGAGAGGCCCTGGAGCTGGCTCTGGCCAGCCTCACCCTGCAGGGCTGTCTGCAAGTACCTGAGGGGGTCGGGGTCACCAACACATCCATGGGGGTGGTCACTTGCTCTTCTTCCTGGGCCTCCAAGATCCTCTGTCCAGGCAGTGGCGGTGTTGGTCTTCCTACAGCATCTCCTGCAGAGGAGGGAGGGGAGGGGATAGCGGGTAGGTGGTGGCCCTTGGCTGCCTGACTTCCCACCCCTGGACAGCGTTCCCTCCAGAGATGCCGACAGTGGCCTTCCCTCCTCCCTGCTGTTCTGACTCTGAGAACCAGCGGTGAAGTCTAGGGCGGGTCACTCCTTCTGCCTCCTACTCTCCTGAAACTTAACCTGGCCCCCAACACAGTCAAAGAACCTGAGAGCCCTCAAGAGTGTCAGGGTGCATCCAGTTTCACCCTCCACTTCACAGGCGAGGAGACAGAGGCTCGCAGAAATGGCCACTTGTTCAAGGCCTCTAGGTTTTAGAGACGGAGCCAAAGCCCAGGTCTCCTGATTCCCACTTCAGCATTCTCCTGTTTACTAAGCACTTTACAGTTTACAGAGCTCTGCCTCTAACACCAACACCTCATCTGCCTTAAGAGGCAGCAAGGCAGGCATTGGTGTCCACATCACAGTGGAGGAATCTTGCTTCTCAGCTCTCTGACTTCTGAACAGTATCCAGTCCCCAACCCCAGGGACCACCAAGTTGGGCTCAGTGGTGCTCTATCCACTTCCTGAGGGAAGACAGGCGGTCCCCAGGGCCCTGCCCCACCCCTGCTTCAGCCCGCGCTTCCTCTTTGGTCTCGTTTATATGCTGAACGGCTCGTGAAGTGCAAAAAGACTGCTGTGGCTGGGGAGGTATTTACAAGGCATCATGGTGTCCTTCTATAGCACCTCAGGTATACAGAGCTCCCAGAGAAGGTGTTCACCCATCACGTCATCCACAACCTCATCTGATTTGAGCCTCGTGCATCAGTGTATTAACTCCACTCCTAGATTAAGGTCTCTCCTTCCTCCTCTTCTGTTTCCTGGGAGCCGCTAGGAGGAGAGACTCACCTGGGACCCAGGCAGGTAGTTGGGTAACGCTGGCTGTGACCTGCACAGAAACGGGAGGAGGTCAATCTTGGCTTCTCTGTCCCCCCTTCCCCTGCCATGATGCACTTCCTTCTGCCACACTCACCCCTGCCTCCAGGCTCCCTGTCCAACTAACTCTCTCATTCACTTTTCATTCATTCCAAGTATTGATGAGTTCTTACTACATGCCTGGCATTCTGCTAGGCACTGTCTTAATCTTCTCCACTATCCTATGATGGTAGGCTATAATGATTAATTGAGCTGATGTATGTAATACGCCAGCTCAGTGTTATACCAACACACCATGTCAATGCTATAATCTCCACATGTCAGCTAGAGCAACAGAAGCCCTGCAGTTAACTGGTCTACCTAGGGTCACAGGGCCAGTATGGTGAAGCTGGGACCCCAGGCCACACTGGTGTCCCTCACCATAGCCCATGGACAGAGGCAGATAAGCGTTGGGGAGCCAGGGGAAAAGAAGGGACTGGGAAGGCAGAGGGCCAGGAGCATGGCTGGGGGCTGTGAGGACGCGGAAGTAGAACTGTGGTCTGGGAGGACGACTAGTGCTTCTCCGAGGAGAGAAGACGCTCACTGGAGAAACAGTGTTTGGAGACAGTCAGGGATGCAGGCTGGAAGGGCAGGGGACAGGACTGCGACTGGCAGACTGACAAGGGAAGAAGCAGCTTCACTCCTCTGGAATGTTTTTCTAGGAGGACACTCAGTTCTTTACAGGGAAATCCTGGGCTCAGGAAAGGGGGCAGGATGCCCCTTTCTCAGTGAAGGAGTTTGAGGCTGTTCACAGCTCTGCCTCTGCTTCCCTGTGAGCCCCTCACAGAGGAGACCTTGAGGCTTAAGCAAATCAGGCTCAGAAAATGCCGAATCTGGAATTAATCTGGAACCAGTTCTAGACCTCATCTGCTGTTCTTAAAGCTTGAGTGACGGCCAGGACTAACAGCACACGTTCCTACTTCCTTTCTGAAGGGGACCCCAGACCATCCCAAATGAGAGAACTCGCACAGTAGCTGCTGGAAAAACAGGAGCCGTCATTATTACTTGCATTAGCGTAGAATTCGGTCTTTGGACCGACTCTTGCACTTTGGCTTCCCTGCAAGTCAAATTCTACATACAATCCATCCTTCTCCCTTCCCTCTCTCCTGGGACGCTTCCCTGCGGCCTCAGTGCTCCCAGGTCCTGCTCTTGGCCACCCGTGCCCGACTCCCTGGTGGGAGGACTCACTTACCTGGCCAGCCTGAGAGTCACCTGAGAAGGAAAGGTGAGACCATGAGCTGAGAGAGGAGAGTCTGGCTGCCTCCTCCCTTTCACCCAGCCAGTGCTGGTTCAGTCTGTCACCTCTTGACCTTGTCCCCAGCAGGGTCAGCAGCAGAGAGAACTCAGACCCTTCTTGCCTGCCTCTGCCCCTCCCACCCTTCTGGGACTGGCCAGAACACAGCCCAGAATCCCAGGTCTGGACAGCCTACAAGGTGGGTCACTTGGTGAGAGGAAACCTCCGGCTTTCCTTTAATGCTTCTGGTGGCAGGAGTCCCACCCACTCTGGGCCAGTCCACCCCATCGGTCCTAGCCTCCCAGCCACACCAGGTCACTTCAGCCTTGCCCTGGACTACCTATGGCCCAGGTGAACAGTTCTAGGAAGCGGGGAGGTTGCTCTTTGCTTGGCTAGTGTCCAGTTACCATGATGACTGGGGCTCTGTCCTGACTTCCCTGTCTGTTCTAGTTTCCTGGAGTACTATTGGCCATCACATAGTTCTCCTGGTCCTAATATATTCTTGGCATTCTGCACTCTGTGCTACCAGTAACCTGGGTGTGCCTTCTGTGTGGTTTCCCAGGGCACCTGCCAGGCATGCCTCAAGCCCAGTCTCTTTCCAGCCCCGTACCTCCTGGGCCCGAGGCAGCTGAGCTGGAGCCAGTGCTCTGACTCTAAGGCCAAGGGAGGGGATCTACAGCCCCCCGACTCCTCAGGATCTGCCTGCCAGTTTTGCAGCTTTGCAGAGAGCACCAGGCCCAGAAGCTCATGGCTGGGGGCAGGGGTGTGGGATGCCGCTGACCCCTCCCACTTCTACCAGTAACTCCCTTGGACATAGCCATATGGGAGAAGAAGGAGGGAAGGCCTTTCCATCACGCCTGCCCGTGAGAGAAGGTTCCCAGAGCTGCGCTGCTGCTCCAAAGTCCCGTTCTAAGGCCCCAGAGAAAGGATGCCATGGGTCCAGGACAAACACCCAGTGGCTCTTTGAGGTGCTGTGGCTTGCTTCTCCCCCATCCCAGATACCCTTGTCAGGGATGGTCCCGGCCTCAAGCCAGGTGCTGGTGGCCGCCCGGAGGGGCTCCCTCTCCACTGGCCGCCTCTCCACTGGCCTGGACAGTGTCCCATTGCTCTTCTGCTCGTGCTCCCTCGAGGGCCTGGCCAGCTCTTCCTCCTCGGCTTTCCTCATGGAGAGGCGGATGTCGGAGCTCGAGTAGGTGTAGCCGTGGCCGGCAGGGCATATCTCCCTGAAGGCCTCTGCAAATCCAGCGGTCAGAGGACAAGATGAGAGTGCTATTCCCACAGGAACCCAAGGCCCACCTTCCCTCCCTTTGGGGACAAGGCAATTGTGGCAGCAAGGAGGGAGGGACCCCAGGTTGGGTTAAGGGGTTGAACAGGAAGGAAGACTCAGGGTCTTCTGGCCTGAGGTTAGGTCCAGGTGGGGGGAAAACAGCCACTGGGTTGGAGGAAGGCCCCTGGTGGCCAGGGCTGAGATGGGGACAGAGTGTTACCTGTGCCAGGCAGGGGGCATTTCTCACACTTGCTGCCCCATGCTTTGCCCACTCGGCTGCAGCAGCATATCTGCTTGGTGATCCGCTGGGCCAAAGGCAGGGCGCAGGTGCCGGGCCCCAGCAACCGGTAGCAGAGCCCCTGCTGCATGGAGATGGCCTTGTCCGCTGCAACAGACAGGGCAGGTGGGGATGGGCAGGTGGCCAGAGGGAGGGGAAAGCGTGGTGGGAGGGCAGTGGAGGAGGGGCGGCTGGCCATGTGCACGCAGATTGGCCCGGCCTGTGTCTCAGTCTGGAAGTTGGGGCCCTGCAAATGCTCACAGAACATTAGGAAGAGTAGCTTCAGGGATGTGTTAGCACCTCTTCATGTCATCTGTTTGAGAGGACCCTTGACTCCCAATCCCATGTGGGGAAGCCGAGAGCAGGAAATGGGGATGTTCTTGCTCATCTCCAGGTGCTGAGTCTACAAATGTTTACAAAAGCTGATGGTCAGGAGCACAAGTGGGGAGCAGTGTACTCTGAGGGCCACGGTCTCCCTGGGAAGATGAGATGTGATGAGAGCCTAGAGCTGACGGGGATTTTTGAGGACAGGGGACCTGCCTTGGTCATCTTTGCAGCCCTGAGCGGTGTCTGGTGCATGTGGATATTCAGTAAATACTTGTTGGATCGATGGATGGACAACTAGATCCATGAATCAAAATCCTGTGGGCTGCAGCGAGTGTGAGCCACGCTAGGTTTAGATAATGACAAGAGCACCACATTGTTCCCTTTCTTGTGCTTTCAGAGTAAATATTAGAGACTGTGCTCTTGTAAATTATCTCAGTGGAAAATGAGGAGGCCATGCCACGCTGAAAGATATTGAAGTCCTTAGAGGGCTGAACAAGAGGATGAAGGGTAGGGCGAAGAGAACAACACTCAAAGCTGAGGGCCCAGGACTGAGCAGACCAAGTTCAAATCCCTGCTCCACCAAGAGCTATGCAGCCTCCCTGGGCTTCATCTTCTTTTGCATAAAATAAGGATGATGATGATAATGGCATAGGTAGTGGACACCTGTATTTCTGCCTATTTGGCATCTATGCCTCTATATTCTGGTAACAACATCATGATTTTCCTATGGGATCCGCCCATTCTCCGACTTTTGGTCCATGCGGAGAGGAGGCGGACCCCACTTCCTGGTTGAAGGAGTGTAGTTCATATCTCTGGTCACAGTGGTTGGGTCAGGGATGCGCAGTTGATCAGCTTTGAGACTTTTCCTGGATTATTAGAAAAGAGGTGCTTTTTATTTTTCTATTTTCTTGATGAGTTTGCAAGGCTGGGAGGATGTTGGCCTGGAGCATCTGATGGCCACTTTTTAAGGAACGATGGAATCATCACAGAGGAAACAGAGCAAGAGACATCCTAAAGACACTGTGGGTGCCTGGATCCAACCGAGCCTGAGGCTCACTTATTCCTGGACTTCCTAGTTGTGTGGACCAATTAGTTATTTTTGCTTAAGGTAGTTTGAGTTGGGTTTTGTGACACTTGCTACCCAAAGGCTTCTGACAAATAAACCTTCTTCATGGTGATGTATATGAAAATGCCTTGTCAAAGGTCACATGCTCTGCACATTATCAGTCAGTCCATGCGCTTGAGTCTCCAGGTGCCATCTCTGCTTCCAGCAGCTGCTTCCTTTGGAATACAGTAGGGAAGGGTCCCATTGAGCCCCAGAACAGAAGCAACCCGACTGGGAATATCAGGAGGCTGCCCTAGCATGGAAGGGCTGCTCTTCTGGCCTTTGTCAGGGGGCAGGGAGGGAGACAAAGCTCAGAAATGAAGGGAAGAGAAACCTCGTGCCTACCCCTCACCCACAGGGAGGTGAATTGTTGCAAGAGGGTGGAGAGGGGAACACTAGGGAGGGAAGGAACAAAGAACACCCAAAGGCCACTCTTTCTTCCTGTCTGTCTGCAGGGTCTCTTTCCAGCACTAATAAATAAAAGTCACATCAGATGTTAAACACACCTGCCTGATAAGGAATCTTAAGGGAGGAAGGAGAAGGGAGTGTTGTTTGCCCCTCAAAGCCTTGATTACACATCTCTGTCACCATGAAGTCTTCCTGAGAGTGGCCCGATGTGTTCTCCCCACTCTGGGACTCTCAGTCTCTGGTGTCCCCTCTTAAGGCTCTTCCTGTCTCCTTGTCTTGGACACTGGGTTTAGTCTCTCCCATTATGAGGGTGCTCCCTCTGGATGGTTCTGGAGTCTTGTTCATCCCATGGCCTCCCCAGACCCAGTACCTGGTGGTTTACAGACTGAGGGCTTGGCTGGCCACAGGGAGCTCTCCTGAGCCTTGGGTGGCCAAACTGACCTGGGCTGGTACTTTGCAGGGGCCAGAGGGGACTGGCTTAATTAGTTCTGGTCAGGCCTCCCTGATCTGGGCTGTGGTATCACAGGCCCCAGGGGGAGGGAGGGTGCCAACGTGGGCCTCTCCCAGCTGGAAACCACAGAGGTCACTGGAAACAGCTGACTGGGTGGACACAGACACAGACACCATGCTGATATGACTAGTGACATGTATGTGCTCATAGACGCAGAGAACATTCACAAGCACAGGGACCACAGGGTCATGGAAAAGCCCTGGGGCCAGAAGCCCTGCTGTTCCTGCCCCTCAAGAAAGGTCTGCAGCTAAGGCATCAGGCGCTGGAAGAGGCAGCTACAGCTCATCCAGACGTCACAGCAGAGGCAACATACATCCCCCTAAAGTAAATGAGGCAACAGATGGGACAGTAGTGATTAGAGAAGAAACATAAGAAATAGAAAACCCCAAACTGCAAAGCCCCCGAAGAAATGCCTAAAGCCCAAAGAGAAGCTGTGAGTGGCTCTGTCTCAGCAGGAGGGGGCAGATCAGGTTCGGTACATTGGGCCCAATTCCAGGTCCAGTAGCAGCCCCTGGGCCCTGCGATGGGGCCTAGAGGGCATTTCTGCTCTCAGCCTGGCCCATGGACCCTGAGGATTCCATCTTGCCTCCTGGCCTCCCCACCCTGGTCCCCGCCAGCACTCACACACACAGCGACTCCTCGATGGATCCAGCATGAGGCCGGGTCTGCAGGTGCAGAGGTAGCTGCCCCTGGTGTTCACGCACTCCGAGTCCTCGCACAGGCCCAGGGTCAAGCACTCGTTGACATCTGCAGGGTAGAGGGAGATGACCAAGTGCCCGCCCCACTGAGGCCTGATGGAGGGGAGGGGCTGGGGCAGAGCTCCTCAATGACTTTCTCCAAATAGAAAAACCACAATAAGAGAGCTGCCATTTACTGAGTGTGATTCCTCTCTCTGTGCCTCAGTTTCCTATTTGTAAAGTGAGGATAATAAATAGTAACTCCCATATAGTACTGTTAGGGGGATAAAATAAGATAAAAATTGCAAATCACTGGGTCCAGTAACTGGTCATAATGGTCATAATATTAAGAGCTAATGTTTATTGAGTCCCTAGAATGTGCCAGGTGATTTACATACAATACCTCATTTAATCGTCATAATGTTATCAAGTAGGTCCACATGGCCTCATTTTATAGGAGAGGAAACTGAGTTTCCAGGTAACTTGCCCAGAGTCACTCAGCTAGTAAGTAGCATGCTGGGAAGTAACAGGAGGAGACTGTGAGGGAAAAGTTTGAGTTGGAGGGTGGAGAATGGGCTGCTAAGTCCCCCCTATTCAGCCTTCCTTGAGAGAACCTGAAGCATCTCAGATGCTGAATCCAAGGTCCAGGGACCAAGTCCGCAGTGAGAAGCTGCAGGATGAAGGGACCCGGGTAAGGACCAGAAGGCAGGAGGCTGGAGGTAGGTGCTGGGGGAGGGGGAGAGGGTTAGGAAGGCATGTCTCCAAGTTCTCTGACGACCCCAGCCTCAGGCAGGCCACCCCCTCACCCGCAGACCAATAGATGCTTGTGCTACGCTTCAAACAAGGGAAACGTTAGCTTCCTTTGTGACCTCAGAAACGTTTCATGATGGAAATTTCTTCGTGCCAAGGGGAAATCCCAACCCTCACACTCTAAGCTCCAAGAAGTCAGGGGCTCCCTTGGTGATAGCACCAGTGCTGATGACAGTGATGGCAGCAGTGATGGTGAGCAGGGAGGGGCACCCACCTCTGGGGCCAGGAGACAGCACATGGCAGCCCAGTATCAGCAGAGCCATCTGCTCACTGGCAGGCTTTGGGGAAGTTGGCACTGAGCACAGGAATAAAGGGGCTGAAAGATGATCCAGCTTGGGCACCAAAGGGAACTGCTCCTTGGCAGGATGCCCTATTGGGAGGGAGAGCTGGGAAGGGGAACTGATCCATTTGTTCCAGACTGTGACCAGGATGATGTCTAAACAGAAATCTGACTTGGCTCCTGTCTGCTTGAAAAGCCTCTGGGCTCCCCATTACCTCTTAGAGGGAGCTCCTAAAACCCTACCTGGTATCCAAGGCCCTCCACCATTTCTCAAGGCCTGTGGGCGAGCGGGCGGCTCTGATAAGACACTGGGATGCCCGTGTTGTTTCCTGTGGGTACACAGGCTGTACTCCAGCCAGTCCAAACTGCTCCTTTGCTTATGCTGTTCCCTCAGCCTGGAATGCCAACATACCCTTTAGTGGGCCAAGTCTGTTTTTTTTAAGTTTAGGCCAGGTATCACCTGAAGCCTTCCCCGATCCTCCAGTCTGAGAAGGGGCCCCACCATGGGATCCATAGCAGTGCCTCTTTCCATTGAGAGCACTTCTCTCATTGTAATTGTTTAGGTATCTGTCTTCACCATCACTGCGTACTAACACCTAGCCCAATGCATGCAGCTCACAGCAATACCCCAAATTACTCTGTGGAAGTAGGAGAGAAAGATGGAGAGAGAGGAGAGATGGTGCATGTGGGTGCAGACATGAGCAGGTCCCAGCCCAGATATAGGGACTGCAACTACAGACATGGGAAGGGGGAGGTTTCAGGGGCAGGGCCTCTTGGGGGCCCTTGGCATCCTGTATCCAGGGAGGCTTAGTGGAGTAAGGACGGAGAGCTCATTTGAGATCCTGGGAATAACTTGAACCCTACAGACTGGGAAACCTGCCAAGAGGAGAGGCCACTGGGGACAGTATAGGTATGAAGGGCCCTATTGTGCTCTCTGAGGGTAAAAATGTGGACTTCTCTCCACACCCACTGTCTGCTAGGTCCTTGGTTCACTGCACCTGAGAGACCGACCCCGGGCTGGGCTGGGTCAGAGGCCTGCCCTTTTGTCTGGTCCAACCACTTTTTTTAATCCAGGCGCCAGAAATTCCCTCTGCGGCCTGGGACCCCACAGGCAGATAGCCCAGCCATCCCAGGGCTTCCCCAGACTCCTCTCTCCTGAAGAAGCCTCTGGGGGACGGGACCTAGGAGGCCATCTCAGTCACTCCCTGTCTCTAACAGAGCTTCATAGCCATTCAGATAGTGATTTGTCTGGTTCTCAAAGCTTGTCATAGTGGGGAGCTGGCTCAGCCCCAGGAGCCTCTCGCTGGCTGGAAGGCCCAGCTCATATCACACCTATTGCCAAGTCCACAGCCAACAAGGGCCCCCACTCAGAGCCATAGCTGAGCCCCACTTCCCACTCCTTTGTCCCAAGGTGCCCCTGGGCCTTGCCTCCTGAGGGTTCTCTAATGCAGAACACCCAGGCCTCAGCTGGCCTTACAGAGACTGCCAGCCAGGCCAGCAAGGCCAGGGACTGTGCTTTAAGGTCACCCCTCAACCCCTGCCCGCTGCCCCCACCTCCATCCTTTCCACCTGTGCCCTCCCCTCCCACTTCCTGTCTGTGGGAAGGAGGCCTAAAAGCTGAAGGTGCTTTGTTGGGAAAAGTCCACAAAAGTCCCCAACTCAGGCTGACTTGATCTTCCACCCTGGAGTCAAAAGTCCTCCCACTCCAGGGAGAGCAGCCCAGGTGGTGAGTGGATATGCGGGGGCTGGGGTGGCATCTTGAGACAGCGCCACACAGCCCCAGAGCTGCAACAACCAGCCCAGATCTGGGTGGGTGGGGGGGTGGAGATGGGGACGAGGGAGTGGGATTGGCTCCCAGGCCCTTTCTCTGCTTGCACAATCACTAGCCCCTGAATTCCTTAGGGCCCTGGAACCAGCAGCCACCGCAGCTCCCCAGGCTGGAGCTCAGAGGTGCCCAGAGGAGACCCTTCAGAGAGTGACAGCCATTCCTTCTGTCTGGGGTGGGGGTGTCTCCCTGCATCATCAAGCCTCCATCCTTTCCCCTCCCCAAGCCCAGCCCTGGCCCTGCTCATCCTTACCTTGGCAGTGAGTGAGGTTCAGTCTCTTGTACCCCTGGGGACACTGCAACTGGCCATTTTCAATCACCGGGGAGGCTAAGGAGTGAAGATACAGACAGGGCTCACTGCAGGCCCCTTGGGCTCCTCTGTCACCCATGCTGGGAAGTGGGGTGCAGTCTGGAGTCCAGCCCTCTCTGCAGCTGTGAGGCCCCACCCCCAAGCCATCACCCTGGGGAGCTGTGCCTCCTTGACGAAAATTCCTTCCCTGGCTCTCACCAAGCCACTCTCAGCCCACCTTACTGTTACTGAAAGTGATACTAAGTGACAATATATCTTGTATACAGTTATAATATTAGCTACAGTATATATTATATGATATGCATGTTATATAATACAACATGGGATTGAACAAGTTTTATTTATTTTTACTTTTTTTTAAGTAATCGTAGATTTGCAGGAAGTTGTAAAAAATAGTACAGAGATGGTCCCCTGCATCCATCATCCACTTTCTCCTAATGGTTGCCTCTTACACAACTAGTTTTTTTCAGTCATTTTAGAATTTATTTACGTATTTTACAATATTATGTTTTAAAAATTGAAGTGTAGTTGATGTACAATATTATATGTTACAGGTATACAATATAGTGTATATTTTAAAGGTTTTATTCCATTTATAGTTATTATAAAATGTTGGCTAAATTCCCCATGGTGTACAATACATCCTTGTAGCTTATTTTATACCTAATGGTTTGTACCTCTTAATCCTCCACCCCCATCTTGCCCCTCCCCTTTCCCTCTTCCCACTGGTAACCACTAGTTCCCTCTCTACATCTATGAGTCTGCTTCTTTTCTGTTATATTCACTAGCTTGTTGTATTTTTTTTTAGAGTCCACATGTAAGTAATATCTTACAGTATTTGTCTTTGTCTGACTTATTTCACTTAGCATATTGCCTTCCAAGTCCATCCATGCTGTACACTAGAAACTAATACAACATTTTAAATCAACTGTACTTCAGTTGAAAAGCAAACAAGCAACCAACCAACCCATTTAAAATATGAGCAGAAGAACTGAACAGACATTCTTCTAAAAGAGGAAACACAGATGGCCAACAGGAACATGAAAAGTTGCTCAACATCACTAATATCAGGGAAACGCAAATCAAAATCACAATGAGATATCATCTCACACCTGTCAGAATGGCCATCATAAAAAAAACACAAATAACAAATGTTGGCAAGGATGTGGAGAAAAGGGAACACTTGTACACTGTTTGTCGAAATGTAAATGGGTGCAGCCACTACAGAAAACAATATGGAGGTTTCTCAAAAACCTAAAAATAGAACTGCTATATGGCCCGGCAATTCCATTCCTGGGCATATATTGAAGAAAAACAGAAACATTAATTCAAAAAGATACATACACCCCACTATTAATGACAACATTATTTATAATTGCCAAGATACGGAAACATCCTAAGTGCACATCAATAGATAAATGGATAAAGAAGCTGTAGCATATATATGCAGTGGAATACAATTTACTCATAAAAAAGAAGGCCATTTTGCCATTTGTGGCCCTTCATTCACTTTTTTTTTTCACTTCAAAAACCAGAATTTTATAACTGGCATAAACTTTTCCATTGTGTCAAAAACAAAATTTCTAGAAATAAACTTAACCAAGGAGGTTACCTATACTCTGAAATTTGTAAAACATTCATGAAGGAAATTGAGGATGATACAAAGAAATAGAAAGACATCTTGTGCTCTTTGGCAAAATGGCTGTACTACCCAAAGCAATTTACAGATCCAGTGCAACCCCTGTCAAAATACGACATTTTTCACAGAACTAGAACAAACAATTGCAAAATTTATATGGAACCATAAAAGACCCTGAATTGCCAAAGCAATATTTTGTAGGTATCTTTTTTTCCCCCTCTTTCTTCTTTTTGTTCTCTTTTCTTATGGCTTGATGATTAGAGAAATTCCTTTAACATTTTTTATAAAGCTAGTTTGGTGGTGCTGAATTCTTTTAGCTTTTGTTTATCTGTGAAGCTTTTGATTTCTCCATCAAATCTGAATGAGAGCCTTGCTGGATAGAGTATTCTTGGTTTTAAGTTTTCCCCTTTCATCACTTTAAATATATCATGCCACTCCCTTCTGGCCTGTAGAGTTTCTGCTGATAAATCAGCTGATAACTTTATGGGAATTCCCTTGTATGTTATTTGCTGCTTTTTTCTTGCTAATTTTAATATTTTCTCCTTATCCTTAATTGTTGTCAATTTGATCATTATGTGCTTCGGTTTGTTCCTCTTTGGGTTGATTCTGTGTGGAACTCTGCACTTCCCGGACTTGGGTCACTGTTTCCTTTCCCAACTGGGGAAGTTTTTGGTTATTATCTCTTCAAAAAATTTCTCAGGTCCTTTCTCTCTCTCTTCTCTTTCTGGGACCCCTATAATGCGAATATTAGTGTGCTTCATGTCCCAGAGTTCTCTTAAACTACAACTATAGTTGTTTTATTTGTTTTTAAACATCTGGATATGACAATTCACAGTCTGGTTCTAAGTTCAGTTTATTTTGATACTTGGGTTCTTTTTCTTTTTGCAGATTATCAGATATTTGGTTTTAATGCTACCATAGCTAACAAAGAATCCAAGACTGAGGTGGAAGAAGCCCATGGTTGGTCGCACTTATAAAACCATGATACTCATTCACTCACACTCACTAACCATGTGATGCTGCTGTTCAAATTTGGTTAGTGGATTCCCATGTTCCCTGAGGTTAGTTAGTTGTTCTTACAAGTTCAAAAAAGTTAGAAAATCCCAGTTTTCAAGCTTTTCAAGTATGCAAGTGAAGAGGATCTACAGCAACAAATCACACAATGGCGGAACTGTTTCCAAACACCCGTTTTCAAAAGGCCCTCTCCAAATCACAACTTTCTTGAAAAGCAGCCCCGCTTCAAGTTCATAGTGAACAAAACTGGGCAGTGGCCCGAGTCCAGGTGGACCAACAAGGCAATAATTCTCAGTATTTTGGTGCTGATACATGTCCTACTTTGATTTTACAACATTCCCCCTGACTTTAAAAAGAAAAAAGAGTATGCTTAAAAAAGTTGACACTCAATAAAAACAGAGAAAACAGTTCCATTACCCTAGATGGACAGATTAGTACATCAACCTACAAAGAAGTGATTTGAAAGCGGTTCTTTTTGTTTGTTTTGAAGGTTTTGGGGTTTTTTTCTTGAAAGGTGCTAGCAGGTAGTATACTGCTGACAGCCACCTGTCATTACAGGAAAAGGCAGCAAATGTGGAACACCCATCTTTTTGTTTAAAAAATAAAGAAGAACTATTTTGTTTAAAAAATAAAGAAGAAATAAAGATTCCTTTGCCAAGACATAGCAATTCTCAAGAGGTACTGGGATTTTCACAGACACTATTTCAGAGCAAAGTTCCATAAAGATACCCTTATGCTTCAAAGGTCTTGTTTTACAAAGTTAACTGCATGATGACTTCCTATAGCAATATGTACTCTCCTGGCTTTGACTTGTTTGTGGCAATAGCTTGCCTATGAACTCTGTGGTGAGGGTACTTTGCATACAGCGTTCTCCAGCTCCGTTACCTTTCCAGTCCTAACATCAGCCGCTACCCTTACAGAGCTGTTGGGTAAACCTTATTTTTATTCAAGAAATCATTTACTGTTGAGAACACACGTCTTCTGGTTCAGCATTAGGGGCTTACACAATAGATAGTTCCTCATGTATTTTATTGTTGAAATAGATTCTTGCAAGTACCAAGAGACATCTTAGGAATACTTGTACCTTTATCCAATTGTACAGCAAAATGTGAGTGCCCCAGTGTTTTAAAATATTTTTCTAGTCAAGATAGCTTTCACTCTCTCATTAGCTGTTATCTCCGGGCACATTATACACTTCAGGCAAGGTTTGGTACTAATGATAGTATAGCTATAAACTGTATTTCATATAGCCCTCGTTTTTTGGAGGGGGTGGGTAATTAGGTTTTTATTTATTTATTTTAATGGAGGTACTGGGAATTGAACCCAGGACCTTGTGCATGCTAGGCATGCACTCTACTGCTGAGCTATACCCTCCCCTCATATAGCCTTCTTGATCATTTGGATACTGGGGTCCATTCTGGGTCCCATCTGAGAGTGCATCATTATTCTTACCTTGTCGTACACCTGATTACCTGTCAGAGGAGAAGCGTGGGCATTGCATTTTTAAATGAGTGCTCGCGATTAGTCATATTATTTTAAATGTTTCTCTGCAAGGATTTTTTAGAGTCACTTCTCCTCCTGGTGAAGGCTGCTTTAGTTAAAACTAGATGACCCAGTTGAAAAGCCCCACAAACCGAGCATCGTCAGGCATTACATGTTGTGATACCGCAAGACCAACAGGTGCCGCATTTCCCTGGAAGTCCCACTCCTCCCTAGGATACTTGTGTGCCAAACACAACACGTGACAGCCTGACATACAGACCAAGTGAGGACATAAATTAGTAAAGCTGAAAGTTTTTTTAAGGTTGAAGAATTGTAAATTGAAGTTGTAATAGTTTTTCCTACCATGGATGGTCTTCCTCAGGGTTTGCATGTGAGAACTAGGCTCCAGCCTAAAAGGCCGCCTTGTGCAGATAAATGAGGATTCTGAAAACACTGACACTGAGGAGAAGGGTGGGGATGAGGCTGGGAACTGTGAGTGCCTGGTGGCATGAACTGAGGACAGGGAGGAGGGAAGAAAGCGAGGAAGCTGTTTTTTGGAGAAACTCAGAAAGCAAGCTGATTAGCCGCAGCCTGCGAACATTACGTACAAGGAGCAGAAGGTGGGAAAAAGTAACGTGAGGCTGATGCCAGGGGGCTGAGGAACAGTGACAAGGGGACATTTGGACACCACTTTGGAGGCACAAGGCCTTTGGTGTTTATCTGTTTCTCACAGTAACCCTGCAAGGCAGGGGCCACTATCCCCATTTTACAGATTAGGAAGGTGAAGCTTAAAGGGGGCTGAGTCTGGGTTGAACCCAAGCCTCTGGCCACGAAGGGCACATCCCTCCCGCACCCAGAGAGGAAGGGGGGCCAGGAGGCCAGG